CCTGGCAGGTTCTGCCCCGCGTGCTGCCGGTGAAGTCCTTCCCCTGCACCTAGCTGAGGCTTTGTGTTCCCGAGATACCCTGCGGTGTCGCTCTGCCTCGTCGGAGAGTCCGCTGCCGTCTCTAATCGATGCTTTTCTACCCTGTCTCTAGGGACTGGCTGTCTGGTAAAAGCAGTGGAGACGGCGGCAGAGCGCGAGGCGTTTATCGTAGGCAAGCCCAACCGGTACATGTTCGATTGCGTGGTCAGTGAGTTCAACATTGATCCTGCTCGTACCATCATGGTGGGAGATCGACTGGACACGGATATCCTCATGGGCAACAACTGCGGCCTCACGACGCTGCTGACTCTCACGGGAGTCACTACGCTGGAAGAAGTGAAAGGTCACCAGGAGAGTGACTGTCCTGCCAGGCAAAGCCTGGTTCCCGATTACTATGTTGATAGTATAGCTGACCTTCTTCCAGCACTGGGGGATTAAAATAGCAAAACCCTTACAGCCTTTGAAGCGGTACCCTGATGCGGGCCCTAATTAATCACCTTGTGACAGTAATGTGCTCAGTATACCACCAGAAATTGGCAACCCTTAGCTTTTTAACCTTTCTGTCCTCTCTGTATGATTTTTGTTTACATCTTGGTGTTCTAAAATGCACTTTGAAATGAAGAGGGCATTATGGTGTTACTCAAGTCTTCTGTTATTGTAACTAATACATATATCTAAACGTGTGTGATACTAGATGTTATTGTCTTCTAGACTGAGTTGAGGAAAGTAGAGCAGAGTGATCTGAGGAAAGGAACCCAACAACTTGTAGTATGTCCTCTCATGGACAGGCTGTAACTCAGTCTTGTTTATTCAGGGAAATAACTCTTTGAGCGTGTAGTTACTCAGTGGCTGTCTTTGGAAACGCTTGCAGTGGCTGATGTAACTAGAATTTGGCCTTAGGTTGTTTTTTTCAGATAGGGTCCCATTCTAGCAGTGCAGCCTGTTGCAGGTGCGACTTCAGGTCAAAGAAACTTAAATCGGTCTCCTTTATTTGACCATAAAAATTGCACTTGTGATGCAGATTAGAATGATTCCACATGCAAAATGCGGATGGCATCTTCTGTATACTGTATTTGTCCAAGTATTGGATGTATTTGTAAAGTACACGTACATACAAGAACTATCCTGATCCTAAATATATATCAGAATATATTTAAAATATAAACTTAAGTATAATATATGATAATATATCTTGCTTCCCAAAAGGGAGGATAAGAGGAATGTACTTCACTGATCACTATAGGTTTAATTCTTGTAAGCTTTTGCATTTGGTAATGCAGAAAGTATGTAATCACATAGGACGGTCATGCACTAATACTGCTTCCCAGAAATATCTGGATTGATTAGACATCAAGTTAGTTCTAAATTTTCTTAGGCTTCCCTGCTGCCTCAGCGTCAAAATAATTGCTTGCCTTGGCTTTATTGGTAGGATAGGAATTGGGGCTCAGTCTACAAGGGATGAATATAATACACAGTGCTGCTTCTCACCGAAGTAAGCCTGTACTGCTCAAGTATGATAACAGCACAGTGCTTCCTTTAAATACCTGCTTGTAACTTCTTCCTTGTGTGTCTGATGTCGGGGCCTGGCAACAGTCACTTGTCCGAAAAAAGAGTGCCTGCTCAGGTGATTATTTTATTTTCCTCTTTAGATAGGTTTTGAGTGATGCGCAGCTCAGGCTATGGGATAGATTTTTATGCTGGCTGAATTGAAGGCCATAGTTCAAAGCTTTTGTATTATGAAATTAAGTGAAAAGTTAAATATGCAAATACTGTATTGTTACTCCATAGATTCCACTACAGGCAATTTAAATTCAAACACTGACCTTTCTTCCTCTCCCATTGTTTAGCTGAATAGCTCTAGTAGTGTGTTCGATGCCATTTCCTCCCACTCAGACACCAGAAATAAGTAAACTTGCCACCTTGTTTGTATAGCAATAACTGCAGTTTGTAATGTCTTTCAGTGTTACCAGAATACTATCTGGATCTTGTAAAAGACTGTTCATTTGTAACTCAGAGTTGTGTAAGGAAGCATGAGTAGTATCTTTCCTATTTGTGTCTCCACCTAGGCGGCTTGCGGAAGTCACAGAGAAATACTTACCAGATAGGACTTTTACTTTACCTAAGTAACATAGAAATAGACAGTGCATTTGCTGCGGTTAGGGCTAACTTCGCAATGCATTCTTTGATTCACTTCCTAGATTTGGTGCTTATAATTTCAAAACATGTCAAGTAAAGGAGTAAATTCCAGGTGAGGTGGTCAGTCTTGTCGAAGCAGCACGTTCTCCCTGTTGAGAACTGTTCACTGTACGAGGGAACTGTTACCTCGATTCACTGTTCTCCACGTGTACCGAAATGTATTGGTGAAGGTGTCAGTTGTGCTTCAAAAGTCTCTGTATCAACTTCCCAGTCATTTTCGACCCTCTACTTGATTTCACATTAAACTTACAAACCTGCTTTCCCTTGCATTTTTCTTGTTTTGTAGTCTCTTGTGCATGTGTTTGGATGTAACTGTACTTTGTTGAAATTGTAGGAGGTAAGGATATAGCTTCAGTCTCTATCATCTTAGCTCCTCACATGCAATTTTACCAAAAAACAAAAACAAAACCCTCAAGTATATTTTCTCATTGTTGGTGCTTAAAACTGAGCTGGAATCTCAGGGTCATAGTCTCACTTCTTAAAGAGCGGTGTGCTTTCCCCTTCATACAAATGCTTCTGCAAACAACATTTTATAGATGTTTTTACTTAATTTTTGTGCCTTAGAATAAGCATAGTGCAAACTTAACTTCATAGAGCAAGAAAGTGCCTGATAGGTGGCTGCTGGGAAATCTCTAGAGGGAGAATATACTGTTCTTACATTACAGCTGGTTTTCCACGTTTGTTGTGTTAAGCCTCGCTGCAGCAGAAATCAGTGTGTAGATTACAGTGGAGGGTACTGCTCTGTGCTCCTCTCTAATGTCTCTGACTTTGCAGAAGTAAATCTGGTGGTTGGGCTGTTTCAACACTGCTGTTTCTTCAGAGCAGTGATAGTGTGGCATGCTGTCTCACGTTCTCCTTGTTAGTATTTTAAAGGAGTAAGAATGATGGCTGACCTTTGGCCACAGCATTCAATCATGTATTTGTTAGTAGAATCCAAGTAGTCCTAATATATTGAAATCACAGCTTATTACACAGTCTAAATTCATGTCCCGTAGAAGCAATGTACTGGAACACGATTGTGATTTTCCAGTTAACTAGGTTGCCTTTGTCTTACGGACAGAAACATGCAAGAGGTCCAGAGGGGAGAGAAGGGGAGTGCTAGTGCTTCAGTGACGTGAAACTCCAGAACGAGCTGCCTTCTTGGTTGAGTTTGATCAGTTTGTGGCCATGCTTGTTTGGAAAATGTCCAAAGGCTTAATCTTTCCCGGAGAGATACTGTATGAAGGAATTCTGTTGAACTTTGGCTTGCCTCCATTGGGTTGTATATCTGACTGGCAGATAATACAAAGCTCTTGCAGGGGCTCCTGGACTAACGAGGATAATTTTAAGGTCTGACTACCTGGGAACTGTGTTCCCTGGGAGGTAATGCTTGCCACTGAAAATGCGTGCTGATCTGAGTGCAACTGGTGTGACAATGACTGTATCACAGACCCTCTTTCCTGGGATCTGAACAAAGTGAGATCTGTAGGTGGAACACAAGCATGCCTGTAACAGCCAAGACTTGCGACGCACCAGTCTGCAGGATAAACAGTTGGCTTCAGCCCACAGAGCTCTGACAGCACTAAGTTCATGTTGAAATGTAGAAATAACTGATGACAAGGGCAGGCTGCCACTTTTTCCTATTCATTTTATCTCTTAATGAGACTTACCCAATCCCACTATAAGCCTGTGCCAGCAGGGAAGACATACACAAAGACTTCAGTTGTATGCCATCTAAATACCTCCAGCTGGCTCAGATGGTAAGCAGGAAGAGCGTTTTTATTAAAAATGACAGCATCTCTCTACAACCTTGGGTTTTACCCCTCCCTTTCTTTCCCCTCTCCCAGGTCGCAGCTCTAAGGTTTCACCTTCCACGCCGGTCTGAGTCGAGGAGCACCTGATTGGGAGGTTCCTGTGACTGTAAGGGACACGTATTTAGGTTTCCCAGGTGCGTACTTAGGCTTCCCAGGCACGTTTGGAGTTGAAGATCATGCACAGTCTGTATATTGTCAGGAGACAGAGCTGCAGGAGCAAGGTCCTTGTCTGAAGTGGAGGATGGAGGGTAGGAACAGCACTGGCAGTATCGTCTCTTCCGTGAGTATCTCTGGGCCCCTAGTTTGATATCACAGTCCTCACGCCGCACTTGCTTGATAACTATTCCTCTTTTTAAGGGGTTGAGCCCCTGCAGTTCCTCTGAGTCTTGGTAAGATTTTGCACACCACCTTTCCAGGGTCCATCGCCAACTTCAGCAATCCACGGTTCAGCTCCTTGTAAGGCAGCTGAGTCTCTCAGCTGGATTTTCATGTAAGTGTCCATACTTACATGGCATAAAACGACTGCATAATGAAGCAGGCTGTCAGGGCAGCGCAGTCAAATGAGACATGCCAAAGAATCACAGCGTATGTGCTGCAATGCCAGTAGTGATGTGCGGGCACATGTGAAGTGCTCCGCAGGCCTCCAGACACCTGCCAGGAGACAGGACTTGCTGAATTTCTTTATCCGTTTATATTTCCCGCTTATATTTATATTTCCAGCTTCCCACCTGAGGGAATTTCACAAGCTATTGAAAATCTAACAATTATTGTAACATTTTGGTTCTATTGATGTTGAATCGATGAGCTTTCAGCTGCACACAGTTTTAACTTTGTTAATACTCGCTGCTTTTTTTGGTGGAATATATTTAGAAGTTGCACATTACCAAAAAAGATCTCTAAGTGACCAGCAGGTTGGCAGAGCCTGTTTATTGTTTGACTGCAGCAAACCTAACCGCCTGAAATTATTAGACTTCTCCATATGCTTTAGAGAATTGAGGAACAGACTTCTTTGTGTGTGTGTGTGTGCTGTACTGTTAGGATTATTGAAAGTGCATTCTTTCTGCTTTGTAGAAATGACTGTATGTGCCAATAACTTATATTCAATTGTTTCAGTATAAGAATTAAAGTGATTTTATATCAAGTTACTAGAAGCACAAATGTGACTGCCAAGCTTTTTTTACTTTGAGTAACAGCTTGTTTTGCATCAAGCAACAACTTTACCAAGAAAATAAAATATAAGCAAATTTATGGTGGGACAAGGAAGGAGGGTTGCCCCACACAGGACTGTTTCAAGTGCTGATGATTATTTTGGGGATTTCTGCTATAAAACAAAATAATTTCATTTGATGATAAAAGTGCAGCAGCAGCCCCCATTTATGCAGAGCTTATTCTAGCCTTTCCTCAAAGGTTTTGCAATGTCTGTGTGTTTCCTTGTCTGCATGAGGAAAACAGTCAGCTGGAGGAGTGCTTGTCGCTGGGATGTCAGAACTAAGATTCTGGTCACTGTGGGATAAAAGTGATGCTATTCCGGGATTGTTACTGTGTTGTGGCAGTTCTGCAGGTCCATTTCTATATTGGGACAACTCCAACAGTTTGCACGTAGTCCTGAGAATGCTCAAATGATTTCCTTCATGAATAACGTGCATTTTACAGCACAGAAGAATAAACAGCAAAAGTGTCAATTTTAACTCCTGTTCTTTCCTTATTCTGCCTTGGCTCCCAGGACAGGAGATTCCCAGCACAATTCAAAAATCTGTCCAGGACATTCTGGATCATCTTGTCCATTGCCTTGTTTTTTGCAGTTGTTGGCATCAGCATTGTGGGGATTCTCAGCTTCTCCCAGAGCTCTGCCCAGGTAAGGGATGCAGCTCCAGGCAGGAACATATCGTCCTGCCCACAGCCCTCATTTGTGTCAGAAACCCTTGCGTGGAGGGATGAATGGGCTGAGACTGGGCCTGGATTTGGCCTGGTCTCCCTCTCGTTCAAACGTGCAGGCAGCCTGCAGATCAGAGTTGCAGAAATTCCCCAGAGGCGCTGCACTCCAGGCAGCGACTGAGCAGCTGCTGCCTCACCCCTCCAGCATGTCTGCCGGAAACCATAGCTGAAATTAGAGGAACTTCAGTGCATCATTAGTAAATGCAGACATGAGCTGCTATTTTGCTAAGCAGGCAAGTTCCCATGCGTCATTGTGGCCTCCGGAGCAAGGGGGGAAGCGAGCAGCTGCTGAGCAGCGAGCTGCGGCTGGCTGGGAAGGCTGATCCAAGCGCCCTTTGGTGTGCCGCCGCGGCAGAGCCCCGCGAGCCCCGCTAGCCCTTTCACTAGCCAGCACCCAGCCCGTCACCAGGCAGGGTGAATGCCTGCGGTGTGAGGGCCCCCACGGCACGCGCTGAAACGCGGCTCAGCGTCTTAACGCTTCTATTCTGGGCATGTCGGTCCTTTTTCCTTCCCAGCTGCAGTTCGAGACTGGGTAGCCAGGGCTGCCCCAACCTGTCCCAGGACCCGCCGCCTGTGTACGCTCCTTTCCCCAGCCCTGAGCGACTGACAGGAGGCCGTCTGTGTCTCACAGATCTGCCCCCCTTCTTCAGTCAGAGCTTGCTCTGTGTTGCTAAATAATTCAGGCAAGCGGCATGGGCCAGCGAAGCGTCTGGGTCCGCAGGAACGTGGAAGGGGAGATGCTCACGGACCCTGAGCAGCTGACGGTGGGTGCTGCCCTCGCTCTGTTTGTGCTCAGCCTCTCTCGCAGGTCGTCCGGCTGACGCTGCAGGGTCAGCAAGACTCCCTGAGGAACCAGTCAGCCGTGGTGGACAAGTACAGGAGCACAGTGACTTACTACGTAACCTCGCAGAGCAACCGCACCACCATCGTGCTGTATGACAGCAAGAACGTAAGTGCCTGGGGGCAGTTACCTGTCTCGCTCGCGCTGGGAGGGGAGTGGGCAAACAGAGCCCAAACTGCTGACGGCAGAGCTGCTGGGGTTTGAGCATGAAGGGCAGACCAGGGCTCCCTCATTTCTCCATGCCACTAGTGCTGTACCAAGCCAGAGGATCCCACGGGGGATGAGCAGCCCCTGCCTGATCAGGAGGTGCTGTGCACTGAGCTAGGTGCAGCCACAATGGTTGCTGCTTTGTTAGAGGAAAATAACACAGGATGGAAGGAGGAAAGTCCGCGTTCGAGGTAGCTGGGTGCGCGCTGTCAGGTGCCTGTTCTGTCCCGCAGGGCTACGTGTGCTACAGACCCGCAGAGCAGCACGTGTGCTACCTGAGGAGGATGGACAACCGGGACCTCCAGAACGTGCAGCCCTCTCTCAACGCCTCCGAGCACGCAGTGAGCAGCTGCTGCGACTGTCCCCTGGGGTGGCTGGAGGGCAGGGGAGGACGGGTCGGGTCTGGTACTGAGCCCTGACTGGCTGAAGGCCCTTTTCTGGGTGGGTTTGTTTTTGCGGTGGCTGACTGAGGGCATGGGCTCTTCCACCCGGGGAGCAGCGGTGGCGACCGTCTGTTTTGCGTCGTTTCTTGCCCAGAAGCAGAGCTCTGCCTCTCGGAGCTGGGCTCCGAGCGAGCCAGCGGCGCTGCTCGGGGAGCACGTGGATGACTCCCAGTTTTACTGCTACTGCGTTTTCTGTGAGAAACAGCAGCAATGCCGGCTGGGGAAGGGACTGTGAATAGCAGGGCTTTTCTGGGACCTGGTCCCACTGTATTCTGTTACCTGCTCTCAAAATTCAGGGGACCTGAAACAAAGTGGGTTTTGTTAGCGGTTCACGGGGAGGTAAGCTGGGGTAAACCATGTATACAGACCCTCTGAACAAAACGCCAATAGATTCATGGGGCAGGGAGGGACAGATTCTGTTTCAAGACGACAGAGGACCCCATACTTTGGCCCCCTGCCAGCTGCTCTCGATTCCCTCAGGAGCTCCGTGGGCCTCCCTTGTCCTTGGCCCACTGCTCCCCGCCCAGCCAAGAAGCGATGAGCAGCATTTAGCCGAGAGGAGAGTAGGAGCACGAGACCCATGAGACCATTTTACCCACATGGATGCAAGGAGAAGAAAGCATCTGCCAGGCCGTGAAGCTCGCTAACGAAAGTGAACGAGAGCGATGGTGCCAGGGGCATCACGGGTGGGAGGCGGCACTGAGGAGCCTCCGTTTAGTCTTGTTGAGCCCCAGTGACCGTGGGGCCCAAAAGCCACTGCTGTCTGTCACACCTCACGCGGGCTCTGCTGCTGTCCGTGGAGAAAGGGGCAGGACTGCCGCACGTCACGGCAGCTGCGAACGCGGGCAAATCTCTTCTCTTGGGAGACTCCTCCAGCCTCCGCGGCAGGCTGCTGGCGAGGGCCGGGCTGCGGGAGAAGGCTGCCCCTGCTCTGAGGCAGCCGCTCTTCGGGGGGCCTGGGAGCGAGGGGCGGGCCGTTCTTCCAGGCTGATCAGCCGCTGCTGCCGACTAACCGAACCAAGTACTGCAGAGAGTTCCTGGGCATTTTGGCAGGGAAACAGGTGGATCCTAAAGGCTTGGGGGAGGCTGTCCAAACCCTGTGTGAACGGACACCCATCTTCTGGGTCAGGCAAGGGGAGGGTAAGTTGCACACGTCTCCCTTTGCAGAAGGGGGAAGCGCGGTTGTTTCTAGCGTGTCTCAGAGGAGCAGGCTCTGCTGCACAAAAGACATTTCAAGTCAGCGCGAGTGCTAGCATGCCAGTCCTGGGATGGGCTGCCAAGGCCTGGGACAGGTGACCTCTACTGCAAAAGCAACCCATTGTTCAGGGATCACTGAACTGCTGCCTTCTACTGACAACCTGCAGCGAGCGGCGGTGCTGCCTGGGGAAAGGCTCTGCAGCCCCTCCCCAAGCAACGCAGCGCACTTGCGCTGCGAACCACAACACGCCGCAGCCCCCTGCGATGCTCTCGGTTTGGTATTTGTCACCCTCACCAAAAGCAGCCCGCAGAACACTCCTTTTATTTTAGTGCAGCTCTAACAATGAGAAAAGTCGTTCCCTGAGGCTTTCCACTTGTTTGGCTCCCTAGGGAGTTACCTGCAGGACTGCGAAAGGCTTCCTCTCACCGTGTTCTGTCCTTGCTCATTCGGCAGGTCCGGGGAGACAGCGACTGATCTACCTTTGCATTGACATATGTTTTCCAAGCAACATTTGTGTCTCTATCTGCTTCTATTACCTCCCAGAGTAAGTCCTGCAGCCACAGATTGCCTCCTCATTGCTCTGCATACTTGAACTGGACTGCTGCAAAGCCTCTGATTTCAACAAGGAAGGGTAACGGCTACAATATCCCTTGAACACTTCCTGCTGATTTCATGCTGCAGTTAAAGAGAATTTAGGAAAATAACAGAACGCTGCTCAGCTTTGTCGGTACAGACACTTTATTTGCAGCTGTGCTCCAGGGCTGCATCTTGTATGTAGACAGCAGTAGATCTAGACACAGGCAAATCATGTGGAGTAGCTAGCGTTTTATGGCCATGTGCCCTGGTCAACACAAGGTTATCAGTTGGCCAGGGCTTTTGATTTTATCAGAGTGCAGTTCTCAAAGTAAGTCTGTGAAATACACTTTGAATAAAGGGATTGCAAAACAAGAAACTGGCTGCACTTCCTCTCTTTGTTCAGCCTATTCCATCATTTAGAAAGGCTGGGGTTTTTTTTCCACTTTGGGGTACGAGAACAGCACAAAGCTGTCTGCAGCAGATGCCACCGGAGTTCCTCCAGCTGCTCTGCACCCAGCTACCCTCTATGGGATCGTGCCTCCCAGGCCCGTTCCCTCTTGTCCAGGTGGCATCGCTTGGAGGTCAAACACGTTTCAGTTATGATCTGCTCAGAGCTGAAGCCTGGTCTCATTCCAGGGAGATGCAGCTGCTTCTGTCAGAGACTGAGCCATCTCCATCAGCGGAGGGGATGGTCACAAGCGTTTGTCTCTCAGGCTCCAGAGGGTGCTTGTCATCACAAGACAAGGGAAAACAAGCCGCGGTCCTTTCTTGCCCACGTACAGGCATTAACCCAACACACTGTCATTGAAAGCAAGGCAGACAACCGCTTTCTGGTGGCCACTGTATTCCCTCTTGATCTCTCCTGTCTCCACGCACCAAAGTCTGGCCAAGTTATCCGAGGAAGCTGGAACACAAAGGAAAAGAGAACAGTGGGATATATTACAATATTATCTTTTAAACTTTTTTTTTAATTGCAAGAAAGTCTGTCCTCTTGCTTCACTCAACACCGTTATTAGCACTGTTGATGACAGCTAAGGAGCCATACACAGCAAGGACCTTGGTGTGTTTCCGCATTACACGTGGTTTTAAGTATTTTGGAGAAAACTTACTGTGGTGGTAGGTACAACATGGATGTTTTGAAAGCACTATCATGCTGCAAACACTGCAAGCAGCATTGCTACCGTGTGGAATAAACAGCACGCATGAGGATCATCTCTCCAATTTAAATGGGAGGCAACAGATGTCCTGTTACAGCACAAGCGAAATGTTTAAGGGAGTTGGTGTAATGGGTTGTGGGTGTGAGGCTGGGTGCTGTAACGAAGGGGGTTTCTCTCCTCACGTTCGCAGGTGAGCTAGGGATTGGTGAGGAAGCATCAGGTATTGGCACTGTACCCAGCCAAACTCATAAATCCCGTGTGAGCACACAGCCCTCCTGCTAGGGGTCCTGGAGTAGTCCAAATCGAATCACTGGACAACAGCAGGCGTACAGTCGGTGCCTTACCTGTGACAATGTACTGGGAGTCCCCAGAGAATGCACAATCCCACATCCAGCCACGAGAGGTTTCCCCGGGGTTATTGCTTTTAATGCTCAGCTCTGTCATCAGAGAGAAGTTTGAAGTCCTCCAAATCTTGCACGTCTGATCTGCAGAACATGTAGCCAAGAGCCTGCAAGGGAGAGAAGCACATGAGTAACCTTATTATTCATGCCGTATGCCTAAAAGCCTCTCATTAATGAGAGCCTGGAACGGTAATGAACTGGAGACCTGCACTCTTCAAAATCAGATTTCTTTGCCCCTATATCATCTGCCTTATGAAATTCAAGCTAAATGGATTTGGTGAAGGAATACACCAAGTTCACCACCTTGCTCTCAGGGATCAGCAGACCGATCCCAGCTGTGAATGCAACTCATGGCCGCGAAACTTGCTGAATATTCACAGAACCTTTCGGAGATCACAGAGCACAAAGCTGGGACGCCACTGACAGTAACCCCCTGCCGGCACGACAGCCTCCTGTCCCGCTCGCTCCGAGGGAGCTGCAGCACGCGTACAGAGCCAACGTCACGCCAACAGCTGGGGCTCAGCGGGTCTCTGATACCTGCCCAGAAAGGACCTGCTGTTCGCACTGCAGGCGAGCGAGCGGGTGGCAGTCACTCACGTGGAATCGGGGCTGAACTTGCACTGGAGGGCGTAGCGGTTGTGTGCTGGGATCTTGGTCTTGGGGATCAGCTGGGTCACCTCCTCTCCGATGCCGCCGGTGAGATTCCAGACGTAACAATTTCCCTGCAAGGAGACGGGAGGATCTGTCGTCAGACTGGGGCGCACCCGCCTGCAAGGGGGGGGGGGGGTTCCCCGACCAGCCGACATCCGCCTGCAGAACCACAACACAGTGCAAACCGCACATAGAGCTGGTACGTGGAAACCTGCTGTCTCTGCCCATGTAGGGTATGTGCCAGCAGCTGCTGAAGCACCAGGAAATCCCATGCCATGCTCGAGGCCACCTGAACTTACAGAGCTGTTGACGGCCGCCATGTAACTGGCATCAGGGTCAATGTGAACCGAATTCACGGAAACTTCAGGCTCTGGAATCAGTTGCTCATTGTGGTCTGTTTTCAGGTCCCAGATGTGAATAGCACCGCTCTGATCACCCACAATTAGCTCTGCCTGCAAGAAACGGACAACCTCGTCTCCCGAAGAACAACCCCACAAGCACATGCCACAAGCACGTGCCTTAGGACTGAGGCACAGAAAACACCCCTATAACTTACACAGGAGACAAAGGCACCAAAGGGAGCCTTGCTCCGGTTTCACATGTTGGGGTCTTGCCCGATTATTCCCCAACACAGGGGTACTGCAGAGCTCCAGCTCTCCAGACAGACACCAGCCTGCTGACTCCCCCGAGAGCAAGAGGGGCTGTAACCTCGCGCTCTGCAAAACGGCTCTTTACCTTTTCAGAAGCGTTTGCTAATTTTATGAACCACAGTACAGACAGCTGGTGCCTGATCTCCAGACCTGTGGTACAGCTACGGCTCCAAACATCATTCACAGGAGCCAAGTGATTTTCAACGCTTCTGAGAAGTGGGCATTAAGGTGCAAGTTGGCCAGTGAACAACTGAAGCACTCAGAGTGTACAGAGAGCTGAAAAACACAACCCTAAACGCGTACCCTCCTCTGTATCCCTCGCAGAGGGTAAGGACAAGAGCCAGCTGGAGGGTAGGAATTCTGGCTCCGCTCCCATCTCAGACCACAAGACAGTGCTGGCTCTCCATTAAAACCAGTGCCTTTATAGACAGCCTTGCACTGTCCATTGTTTTAGCAGAATTGCTAGAGTAGATCAGGCCACTGGGCACACCTAATTCTGTAGCTGTGAGCAATAGCTTGTTTCTGAGGATGACAATCATCGTTTGATGTAGCTAGCTGGCTGTACAGTGCAGAAACGTCTTCTGGCTGCCTCAATCATTAGCCCCCTCTTAACATGTTTAAGCACAATTGCTAAAACTGTAATAGTCTCACCTAGACCTTGCTAAATCTCTCTCTAGCATAAGCAAATCAGTGTCACGCTGCAGCAGTGAAGTGCAAAGACCGATCAAGCTATCTGAACGTATACTGCCACCTTTGGACTAATTAACACTGCTCTGCTCCCAAACTAACATTTCTCTTGCAACTCAGCAAGGCTTTAGTTAGCGAAGACCTCACATGCTATATCCATGTCCAACAGCAATGTTTTGTTTTGTGCTAATACATTCTCACAGCAGTGGCATGTCTCAAAGGTAATCAGGGCCGTGGTTCACTTTTTCTTGGCAACGGAGCTAGCTTCAGAGCTTCCCAGCCCGCCTTGTGCCACTGGCGCCACTCGAATAATATCCCCTTAGTTACGTTCAGGGGACTGAGACAGGCCCTAACGAGCGCCCCTTTCCACGAGATCCGAGGACAAACTCAGCCCTTAATTCAAGCAACAGCTACAGGTGATTAGCACAGACACGCCGGCTGGAAAGGCGCTGCGCAGGGCAGAGCGCGGCTCTCCGCAGCGGGAAGCAGGCCCATCAGAATCAGGACGCCGGCCCGTTTCCAGCTCCGCTGCTGGGGCAGGTTTGCTCCGCAGCACAAAGGAGCTTTGGCTTCTGCTGGTGCAGACGCAGGGAACGTCCGTCTGTCCGTCCGTGCGTCCGTCCCACGGGTCTCGCTGGTCACGTTCCTACGCTTCCAGCGGGAAGCAGGCTGGTGCTTGGTCAGCGATGTCACCTGCAGCTCCCGGGACAGCGCCACCAGGACCACGACCTTCCCCAACCAGCGAGAACGTCCCCGCCGCGTGGAGCAGAGCAACGCGCCCGGCTCCCGGGCGTTACGGCATCTCCGCCCGCAGCCGCCACCTTCTGAAACCCCGGGGGCAC